GGGTGGAGGGGGGTTCTTGCTATGTAATCGAGCCTGTAGAGTACCTCAAACTAATGGTAATCCTCCCTCTTCAACATTCTGAGTGCTGGGATTATGGACATGCACCTCACCATACCCTGCATAAATTTACAAACTTTTGAACCAGTGCAATCATGAAACCTCATTACCTGGACAGTTCACGAGGAAAGTGTTAAATTCTCTAGCAGGTGTGGGGAACAGTGTCACCTGCAGGGAGAGCAAGAGGGGTGGCCCTGCCTGCCTTAAGGCAAGGGGGGGGGACACCCCCGGAACTGCTCCCTGTAGCTGGGAACATGTCCCTTCCATGACCTTCAAGAATATGCCGTGAATGGGAGATCTGCCAAGAAGAACTTGGCCTTGATTCCTTCCCGAGTTCTCAGTATAAAACAAAAACACCTGGTATTTGTAGCAAGAAAAATTCTGAGTTTAAATTATACTAGCTTCACCTCATGTAACCTCATATGCAACTGTATAAAAACTCTTTGAGAATAAAGAACTTCGCCTTTCACCTGAAGAGCATCTGGTCCTCTCCCTTCAGCCACCCTCCCTACTCCCGTTGTAGAGCGGAACTGGACAAGCAGGCAAATTACTCACTAAACAGTGACACAGCAACAGGAGCTTATAACTAATAGTTAGGGACCTTCGATTCAGCCAGGTTTTTTATAGACTGACCCAGTGAGTGAGATATAGCTGGGTAGCTCACCCTTATCTCTACACAGTAAACCCTTACCTGGTCCCTAAAGACATTTAACTTTGATTCCATCCAAATGCAGTTTGCAACCCAATGAGGAAAACAATTTCCCTGTGGCTATAAAGCTTGTCAACTAAAACAACACCAATATAAATCAAACTCAACCCCAACTGAACTTATTTTCTCCCCATTTTAGGGAAAGAAAAATAATCCTTTCCTGCACCATCATAAATTCTTAGCTGGAACAGACCAGAAAACAGAATTTCACGTCTTTGTATATAGATCTCATAGATATAGTGGGAGAAAGCTAGACAATGATCAGTTATCAAAGGAGTGATTTGTTTATACAAACACCATCACCTAAAAAGAGTACATGTTTTAAAGAAGTGTCTTCAGTGATTGCCTTTGTTCTACAGTTGGAAGAAGGGCAGCTAAATCTATGTTGTGCTTTTTGAAAAACAGAATAAAATTTTCCTGCATCAGCTGCTTTCTAATTTCCTTCAGAACAACAATTCATATACCAACAGGACATATGTCAGGGTCCCATATTTCAGGCTCCTACACAATAAAAAGCTCCAGGTTAGCTTCTATTTTCCAGATTGGAAAAGCACAAAACAGGAAGAAAGCTGGGCCCTACTTTAGAGGCTAGAGCGCAATTGAAATTAAAAATGAAACACGAGCTGCATATTCGAGAGACAGACACAAAGATTTCTGAGTTGAACTCCTCTCAGGGCCTTGTTCTTTATCTAGAGCAAAAGCCAAACTTCCCTCACTAGCCTGTGGAAATAACCAAAAAATGTCTTCCCCAAATAAAAAAGATTGCACAGCTAAAAATAGTTATGAAGCATATTTAGGGGTTAGGGACAGCTCTGCAGCACAGTGCCTGCCTGGAAAGAGTGGGGTTGTGATTTCTATTCACAGTAACAACAAAAAAAAAAAAACACTGAAGAAAGCGCTCACCTTAGAAAGCAGGGAATGAACCAGAGTAATGAACATTCCTAAGCTTTGTTAATAGTCCTTTATTTGCTGTTTGCAGCCTTTCCCCCAGACATCAGCCTCGCAACCCAAAGTCCTATTATTTTGTCCAGTACTTTATATATTTACTGTTCTCACCTGAAGGTGTTTTATAAGCCAGGATTCCAAGCTATCCTTTGAAAACTACAAATTACATGAGTGTCTTCCGTGTACCTGTGAAATGTACAAATTAGTAAGCTTGTTTCTTTTGTTAATCTGATTTTTGTTTCAAACCCAAGCCACCGACCTGTGGGCCACCTCACCTAGCCCACCTATCGTCAGCGCTTCTCTCTCTTCCCTGAGGACAGTCACGCATCCGGCTTCCTCGCCCTGTTCAGGCTCTTGCTGAAACACTTTTCACGAGGTCTTCACTAGGACCATATCTAAATTTCAGCTCCAAATTCTACTCCACATTCCTGCTTTGTTTTCTTATCATCCAACACTATACACAATGTTGCATGGTTTAATTTCTGCCTATCATAGTCAACCCCAAGCTCCAAGAGAGCCGGAATTTTTTTTTGTTCACCAGACACAATGCACAGACAGATTATAAAATTTCAACAAATACATCGAGAATAAACACATTTGAAATTCATTACAAGGACCAGCCAGATAGCTCAGTAGATCGAAGTGCCTGCTTAGGCAGCCGCAGGAACCAGGGTTCAATCTCCCACAAACTGTGCCTCCTCACCCCAGGGGCTCGTGGTGGTGCATGCTGTAATCCCAGCACTTGGGAGGCTGAAAACAGGAGGATAACTACAAGTCCGATCTGTGTAGTGAGGCCCTGTAGACCCTGTACTAAATACATTAAAAATAATAATAAAATAAAATTCATTACAGGGCATGGTATCATAAGCCTAGAATTCCATACTCACACTCAGGAGGCTGAAGCAGCAAGATCAATTGTTAGATCAAGGCCAACCTAGACTACATAGACTCTCAAAACTGTAAAAATATAAAAATAGAATTCATCGGGGCTGGGGAGAAAAAAAAAAGAAAGAAAGAAAAATAGAATTCATCAATGTTAAGTGTTGTTTGTTGCAGCAGTAATGACGCATCCTAGTTGGATTCTACCACAGGACAGGAAAGCCGAGTTGGTGGTAATCCCTGCACTCTTGGGAGGCTGAAACACAATTGCTCAATATTGGGCATCCCCTGAGCACCTTAGCAAGCTAGCAAGATCCTGTCTCAAAACATAAAAAAGAGGGGTAGGAATGTAACTCAGTACAAGGGCCCTGGGTTCAATTCCCAGTATTCAAAACAAATTTAAATAATTGGCCAATGTTGATGATGACATTGAAAGTGGATGAGATCCACATAGTTTTATTAAACTGACCTCTCACACAGTAAAAGGATGTGAAACACTTTTACTTAAATGTCACAAACTTAAAAGTATTAAAAAATGGAAATACCTGAAAAAGTGACAACTTGATAAATAAATAAAAGCTATGACAAAGGATCAGTTATTTAAACAAGAATTTGTGCTAATTGTGTACAGAAAAGCCCTTGTGTAAAGAAAAAAGGCATTCTGGATGTTAGACAAAAAGCCTAAAATTGGGGCTGGTGAGATGGCTCAGTGGTCTAAAGCACCTACTTAGAACAAGCAAAGCTAAACAAAGCACAGAGACCGCGGTTCAATCCCCCAGCACCACATGCCAGCCCGCCCTGCCCCTGGTGGGCTGAGCTGGCCACACACACACAAAAAAAAAATAAATAAATAAATAAATAAATATTTAAAAAAAAAAAAAAAAGCCTAAAATTGTTCCACCCCTCCTGGTAGCACCGCCATCACCTGGTGCAGCCAGTCACTGAAGGCAGCTCTGTCTCAGTATGGACTCTCAGTAGCCTTCCCCTCAGACACCGCCCTACTGCCTAGGAGGCTGAGGCAAGGCTGCCAAGTTCCTCCCAGCCTGGACGATGTAGTAACCTAAGATAACTCTGTGTGAAAAACTCAGTAAGGGTTGGAGATATAATTCATAGCAAAACCCAATCCCCAGTACAGAGAGAGAGGGAAATTACTGTAAATATCAGGTGAATATTAACTATGGCTCTTGGTACCAAGTTACACTGGTGTCAAACAGTGCAGAAGGTCCTTTTTGGAAACTAGCATTTCTCTCAATGCAAATGACAAGAAACCTGTTTCAAGAAAAAAAAAAAAAAAATTCCTTACTGTCTGTCAAACAGAAGCTAGTAAACAGGACTAAAATTAATTTAGTGCTGCCTCAATCCCAGCTACTAGGGGCAGCACCAGCGTCAACACAAATTGTAACGGAAAATCTGAATTGCCGGCCCCTGCCCACCCCACCCCACCACCACTGCAGTTATATTAGTTGGGAATGGGGCCCAAGATTTCATGTATAAAAGCTCCTAGAGCCTAATGGAAACCACCAAGTAATACAGAACTCTCAAGCTAGCTAGTTATATACACGTAGGAAATATTTCTTTCATTAATACAGTTGGTTAAAAACTCACTACGAGCTAAAACTAGGCCTCAAACTAGTTCCTCACGAATAACGCTTTTGTTTTGTTTTCAGTACCAGATTTGATATTCTCTAGCTCTAGATGGAGCCTGACAGTCCAATTCCTACCAAATCGCGATGGTGGATTTCCACTCCTGGGTGGAAAGCACTGAAGGACATCCTGTGGGCCGCTTCTGCCTGGAACAGCAGAAACATGCTGGGGCAGACGACCCACTGGGAGAGCCTAGAGAAACAAGAGGACTTTTAGCCTTACACAAGGGAAGATTCAATGAGGCTTCAAGACTTCTTAAAAAAACGAAACACAGCTTCACTATGGAATTTGGGCTGACCTTAAAACACACTTCCATTCACTCAAGACTGCCATGGAACTCACAGCATTCCTCCTGCCTCAACCTTTAAGGACTAACATGAAAATCCCTGCTCATCACCTGGCCCGTACATACCAAACCAGTGCAGACAAGGGGCCCCCCAGTAAAGGCATTGTAAGGATAACGCGGTCACCATGCCCTTCTGCAAATTGTCTATTATACAAACATGCCGCTCACAATACACCTCACTGCTCCCTTCAAGTACATCAACTGCACAGCACCAGGCAGCTTAAATTCTCCCTCTAATGCCCCCCAACCTTTTTAGATTATACCAATTGTTACAGCTATTTCAGAGTAGTAGGTGGCTCTTAGAAGAGCCTTTTAAGCAGTTTTGATTATGGAAAGGTTTAGGCCCTCTCCCCGCGGATGCGGCGCGCCAGCTGGATGTCCTTGGGCATGATAGTAACCCGCTTGGCGTGGATGGCGCACAGGTTGGTGTCCTCGAACAGCCCCACCAGGTAGGCCTCGGAGGCCTCCTGCAGCGCCATGACGGCCGAGCTCTGGAAGCGCAGGTCGGTCTTGAAGTCCTGCGCGATCTCGCGCCCCAGCCGTTGGAACGGCAGCTTGCGGATCAGCAGCTCGGTGGACTTCTGGTAGCGCCGGATCTCGCGCAGCGCCACGGTGCCCGGCCGGTAGCGGTGCGGCTTCTTTACGCCGCCGGTGGCCGGCGCGCTCTTGCGGGCGGCCTTGGTGGCCAGCTGCTTGCGCGGGGCCTTGCCGCCGGTGGACTTGCGCGCTGTCTGCTTGGTGCGAGCCATATCAGCGTAGCCTGAAACAGACTCAAAGGCAACCAAAGGGTTTCTTTTATATACTCTAAGAAACATCCTGATTGGCCGAGGTGCTTTTCAAAATTCCCGCGCACCAAAATCATTGGTTGAAAATGAACGAGGCGATTGGTGGATGACTGGAAATTTTGATTGGATAGGTTACTGCAATTTCTAATCCGTGAAGGTTTCTTAGTTTATAACCCGTGAGAGATCATTTCCTAAATTACTTTTTTTAATTTTTGGACTTCTTAGTACCTACAATGAAACACTTCAAAAGCCTGTAAAATGTTCTGGTTTAACAAGTGTGATAGGAAGGAAAGATTACACCTCAGGAATCCGTCTATTTTGCCTTGTGCTACCGTCACAAGCTTTATTCGTGCCATTTCCAAGTCTAGTCTTTGCATGACCTCATCCTAAAATTGGTCTACAAGTTTTTACCTCGGTTCAAGATCTGAAGACCGACTGTGCCCACTTTGCAATAAACCGATTAGCTGTCTCATCCAAATAACATCCTTAAAAATTCTGCTGTGTTATGCGGAGTACATCTCCATTCGTTCCTTAGTTTTGGTTTCCCCATTTCATGAATTTATCTGTAATGTCTCTAACCTTTTCTGAAACTTGCTTCCTGTGAAATGTTGGCTAACGTTAAAATATTGTTCCTTGTGCAAAACTGGTACTCCCGGACAAAACTGCCCCACAGTCGGGACACAAAGTGCCTGGTCACTTCACGCGCAACTGCGCCACCTACAGACTCACGTAGGACATGAGACCACAGAACGCCCAAAACCATTAATTTCACCCTGGTATTTTCAGCAACACACTCTTTTACTTGAAAATTTGGATGGCTCTGAAAAGAGCCTTTGGGTGTAAAAGGTCGCCACACGCTAAAATGCTTCACTTGCCCTTGGCCTTGTGGTGGCTCTCGGTCTTCTTGGGCAGCAGCACGGCCTGGATGTTGGGCAGCACGCCGCCCTGCGCGATCGTCACCTTGCCCAGCAGCTTGTTGAGCTCCTCGTCGTTGCGGATGGCCAGCTGCAGGTGGCGCGGGATGATGCGCGTCTTCTTGTTGTCGCGGGCCGCGTTGCCCGCCAGCTCCAGGATCTCGGCCGTCAGGTACTCGAGCACCGCCGCCAGGTAGACCGGGGCGCCGGCGCCCACGCGCTCGGCGTAGTTGCCCTTGCGCAGCAGGCGATGCACGCGGCCCACGGGGAACTGCAGCCCGGCGCGGGACGAGCGCGTCTTGGCCTTGGCGCGAGCCTTGCCGCCCTGCTTGCCGCGTCCAGACATCGCTAAACCTCAACCAAGTTGCTGAGCACCAAAAGTAAAAAACGTTTACAAAGGCTTCCTGCCGAAATTGCAAGAAATTATACTCCCAGGCGGGCTTGTAAATCACAAGCTTTGATTGGCTAAAAGAAACTACAGTATATAACCAATTACAAAGGAGAACTTGAAATCACCTAATTTGCATGTGACGTTGTGCTGCAGAAAATCTATCCAATCAGAGGCTAGGTATTAAAACGCCACATTTGCATAGAAGCCCTACAAATATTAACACCGTGCTGTTTCAGACTGTCATTTCTCTTCCAGTTGGACTCTGGAATTGTCTGCCATGCCTGAACCGGCAAAGTCAGCTCCGGCGCCGAAGAAGGGCTCCAAGAAGGCGCTGACTAAGGCGCAGAAGAAGGATGGCAAGAAGCGCAAGCGGAGCCGCAAGGAGAGCTACTCGGTGTACGTGTACAAGGTGCTCAAGCAGGTGCACCCGGACACGGGCATCTCGTCCAAGGCCATGGGCATCATGAACTCGTTCGTCAACGACATCTTCGAGCGCATCGCGGGCGAGGCGTCGCGCCTGGCGCACTACAACAAGCGCTCCACCATCACCTCCCGAGAGATCCAGACGGCAGTGAGGCTGCTGCTGCCCGGGGAGCTGGCCAAGCACGCTGTGTCTGAGGGCACCAAGGCTGTCACCAAGTACACCAGCTCCAAGTGAGCGGGCCCGACTCTACCTGCACCCCAAAGGCTCTTTTCAGAGCCACCCACGTTATCTTTTAAAGGTCTGTAACTGGAAATACTAAGCATTACATGCTGGGGTTTTTTTTAATTAAGAGTTTTAAAAGCAAAGGTTATTTTTCACTTAGTGTTTAGATCGATCCCACCTCCGTCTATCCTATCCTCTTCCCTTCGCCCAACAGCGCTGCCACTTCCTAGACAGGGTTTGTTTTCCTTTTTCAGTTTCACTTCGTCTTACCATTATGGATCAAGAAATAACCAGACAGAATTGTGAACTCATGAGAAAATTACATCATTCATGTTGCTGATCTTAGATTACATGTGGATAGAGCTGCATCTGCCAGATCCACATAAAGTGGCCTGATTATTGTTCTATCCCACAACTTTGCCCACGGTCTGATGAGTGTGTTTATTCTCATTTTATCATTCTCCGATTGTGAGGTCAGGAGCTCTGTTCTATCCATCCTAGTTTTCTGCCCAGGTTAACATACAAGCTTTACAGAGAACAACCGTGGAGGAGGAAAGGGATGGAAATCACTGTTGTGTAGTACATCCATCTTGAGAAGTGACACAGACTGCCTGCTCCTACCAAAGTCCACTCAGGCTCCTGACTGCCCGAGCTCCTCTGATCATCAGTGTGCTGGGCCATGCCCACACTTTTTTGTTCCTTGAAACTACATTTAAGAGAAAAGAGGTCCAAGGCATTTAGATTTATGGGTCGTTCTTGGCATACACTGATTTTCCTACAGTCACTTTCTTGAAATGGAGTCATCAGTTTTAGAGACAAATGACCTGAGGAATTAGGGTTAAATGATCAGTCCCTTACATAGAAATTATGGGGTCTAAATTTCATCCGTATGAATATAAGGATTAGTTGCACACTATTTCTTAGGAAAAAAAAAACCAAGCAGTAAGCTAGTCATAATTATAGGAGGGGGAGATTTAGGTTCAATTGACAGAAAACAGATCAGAGATACACTTATGTTGCAAAGGCATTTGTTATACTCGCAAATATTTCTTTACCAAAAATCCATAGACTGAGAGTGGTGGCACACGCCTGTAATCCCAGCACTTGGGAGGCTGAAAACAGGAGAATGAATAGGAGTCAATCTACGTAGTGATCCAACTATGTAGGCCCTGTAGGCCCTGTACCAAATACATTTTTTAAAAAATCCATTTTGGAAACTCAAAATCACCCAGAAGGAAATTAAGTTTTCCAAACGTCATGTTGTAGAAAGGAAATCACGGACATTGGCCCTGTAAAATTGAGCTTTAAACCCTCCCTTTGTACTTACTTAGCTGTATCATTGCAAATGCCTGTGAAACCAATGACTTTGCATACTATGTAAATACTAAGTGACTCAATTTAGTAGACTTGGGCAGGAAATTTTGTGAGCCCCATCTTTCTTGATCTTCAATGTTAATTTTGAAATAAATTTTTAAACAATGTATTCATGAGAATATTCTATTTTGGTTTAAAAGAGAAATCCCTCAGTGCAATATAGCCTTGACTAAAGCCTGGATTTGAGCAATCCACTTAATTCCTCTATGAGCATTCTCTTATATCTAAACACAAGATGAAAGAAGGACTGCAAGACTTTGCCAGGCTGACCAGTAAGAGAACACAGGTAATGAATGTAGTGAGGTATGTGCAGAGAGGCCCTCCCCCACACCAAAAAAAAAAAAAAAAAAATGGTTCAAGGTTCTGGCTGCCGAGATGGTAAACACTGGGTCCTGCTCACCGGGAATATCTTGAGGCCTGACACTGTAAACCAGGAAACTGCTTAAAGAGCCAGCAGTATAAATGATATTCTTCAAAAAGCCCAACCCCCTTTCTTAGACTATGGTTTTCCTCTGAAGTGTTTTTGAAGACATTCTAGTTCCTGTAGCTGGCATTTTCCCCGAAAATAAGACCTAGCTGGAAAATTATCAGCTCTGAAAACTAGGGGTCAAAAATGCAAGCTGCAATCAACCTATCTTTGCATTGCCTGCCTTCCAGAGTCGCCACCGAGGAAGACAATGATGATGACTTATAAGGCGAGCATAGGCTGATTGAGCTGGTATTTTTGACCTGCAAATTTCAAAGCTGATTGTTTTCTGGCTAGATTTTATTTTCAGGGAAAGGGAGTGTTAGAGCTCCAGTGCTGCCTGCCAGCTCAAGTAGTATGACATTTTCCAGTAATTATTTTCCTCAAGCCTTCACTAGAAGAACAGGAGTATCAAGATGAATCATGTCAATAAAAGTTGACTTGGAAAGGAATGCAAATGAAAGAGAAAAAGTTACAGTAGGCCCTCGCTGTTTCGTGTTTAGACTTTGGGCTCACTATTTCGCGGGTTTTCAGAAAATATTAATCTCAATTATTTATCGCGGATTTTTTCCTATATTGCAGGCTTTTGTGGTAGTGTACAGTACTGTATACATATACCCCCAAGTAGTATTTATGGTTTTGATGATTTTTACCTAAATTTTTAAATATATAAAAATATATTTAAAATGCTAATTCTAGCATATTAAAAAATATTAAATCAAAATAAAGTACACTGTTTATGGTATGTGTTTCTGTTGTAAGCAGCTGAATGAGATAGAAATAATATAGGTAGTCAGACAGGGCCAGGCCCTCAAGGAGACAAGATGAAAGACAAGGTGACTTTGCAACTTGGAAGAGACAGACACTCCCATATGGGCCACACCTCAAGACAAAAGAGGAAACATACAGCCACATACTTCCCTGGGGATGGGCATCAGGCATTAATATTCTAAATAGGTATCAATCACCTTGAAAGTGCCCAAATATGTCACTAACCCAACCCCCAACAGGAAGAGACACTGTCCCACATTCATGCCTGCTTGCTACTTGACTGGCTTCCAAATTTGGTACTGGATTTAATCAATTTTACCTGAGCAGTGGTGCTTGTAATCTCATTGGTTGACCATAGTTTTGCCTCACCTCCTGCCCATGTCTTGAGATGTGTTCCTGTAATGACCTATGTAACCGTCTCCATTTTTGTAACTAGAACAGCTATTTTGTTATACAATTCTGTATGTTTCTGTTATAACCTATGTGATTGATTACATTTTGTAACCAGAATACCCATTGTATTATACACCTCTGTACATTTCCACTGTAACTTTATTAATGAGGATTGTTTGGTATAAGCTGCCAACTTAAACTCCATCTTGGTGGCTCAAGCCATCCTCGGACCTCTGAACAGTTTGTTAATGTTTAAACTATTCCTTTGTTCTAAACCACAGTGTGCTAAAGGTTAAGATCTGAACTATTTCTTACCCCAGAGCACTCCACGCAATATGTCCCGTGATCAACACTGAACCATAAATTGTAATAATTTGTTCCTGAAAATTGTAACTGCATGTTAAAAAAATGTAACCTGTTTTCCCGAAAGTGGACGCTGACCCCTGTGCTGCATTCCCTGGCGTTCAAGTCACAAGACCTCCCCTTTGCGGTTTTCAGCCTTAAAAACCCTTGTCTGTCCCCTCCTGGGCGCGCACTTAGGCACTTTGTGCCGGGTGTTGCCGCTGGGTACCAGCTAAAATAAAGTGCTCTTTTCTTTTTGTACTTGTCTCCCAGTTGTCTCATTTTTGGGTTACAACAGTTCCCATATTTTCTCCACCACTTTAGACTAGCCTCACCTCATGGAGTTCCTCTATAAAAATCCCTGGAAGAGACAGCTTCCTGGGGAATCACCCACCCGGGGGTCCCCTTCCTGTCCCTCTCTTGGACAGAAAATTTATTTCCCCCAATGAATATATTCTGTATAACCTCCTTTGGTTCCTAAAATTCATTCTTCGGTTTTAAAGAACACGACCTCGTCCCAGGTACTTTTAGGTCTGGAGTTTCATTTTTCTCGCATATTATTTGGAGGTCATTGTTGTAACTCAAAAATCAGATGACAATGA